ACTACACAACAACTACATACGTGCATAGTACTACACAACAACTACATACGTGCATAGTACTACACAACAACTACATACGTGCATAGTACTACACAACAACAGAAGAACTACACAACGACTTTGTCGTCGTTTGACCTTTTTAGCACATAAGTTTATGTGTAACAGAGTGAACATGTGTCTAGTACCTTAAACTTGTATTTTCTTTCGCAATTTTTTTAAACAATATTTTTACTTATGATCATCTGTGGTTACTGCAAGAACAAGAAAGTACAAGAAATACATTGTTTGTGCAAAAAGTAAAACGTTGATATCACATATTTCCAAACTGTGGAATCTTATTCGGTAAAAATGACACCATATGATCATTGCCGGTGGTAGTCGATTTTACCGAAAGTCGATCTAAACCCCTAAAACATGTAAAATTACTCTGAACACCTTAGTTTAGGTCCAAATATAGCTGTAACAATTTTTCAGGTCCCTGCGATCTGATACTGCTTTCAGGCGAGCCTTGGCAAAGCATTGCAGAAACATTTGCAGGTCCGCCAGGATTTATACCCGTTACATGTTACATTTAAAAACAGACTAACCGGTTGTTCCGAATAAACGAAGAGGCCTCTGGTCTATGTGCTAGAGGTTGATCTGAAACCTCTAGAGAGTTAACAGTATTTACATATCATATAGATAATCCTACTGTAATTGAGCGAAATAATGGGTCAGATCATAAAGCATACGACTTCACGGAAGCACAGAACATTCATAAATGACATAGCGTCAATGCGTCAAAACTTAACAGAAAAAGGGAGAAAAGAACAAAGATCAAGGCATTACATATACTAAAGTTAAGATCTCTGCCCCACAGGAATGTGACATGACCAAATCGAAGCCAAGTGGTTGATTATTTGATTGGTTTCACTTTAAAAGACTGGACAGTCGCTATGCTGATACATGCATTTTCAAATTTACATTTGCTTTTGTAGAATGCTGACAATCAGATATCAAGAAACCTCTGACAAAATTGATTTGCCTGGGTATATTTTGACATGGCTGATATGGGCCATCGTAGCCCTCTATGTTTGTATATATATAATGACGAAGCGCATGTTGCGGATGATAAAATTAAGACTAGTTAGATAAAATGATAGTAACAGTAACATTAATAAGCCTTGAAATCGGGTTTCAGCATCTACAAAAGCAGATGGATTTTGTCAACTGTGTGACATTTTTGTCCAATTCTGCTTTGCTTTCTGTTGTTTAAGCCTTGATACTTTCAAGCTTTGCATTAATTAAAATTCCTGTTGATAACACGAGGCTGCGTGATGGAACACATGCCGTCTTTACATTCAAACAGACCCCCTCCCCCGTTCCCTTTGATCCTTTAATTCCCCTTCTCTCATATCTTTATAATATGTATATTCTAGCTGTGGTTTGAGTCGCATTTCCAATTTCGATTAAAAATAATGCAAATTAAAAAAAAAAAAACAGAAAATGTGCAGTATCTGAATGAGATTTAGTTTTAGTTTATTCGAGTTGTCTTTCTTTGAACCCTGGAACACAGTTGCGCCGCTCCGAAACATTGCCCATTCGTGTGCTCAGGGATGTGTAGAGCACATCCCTGGTGCTCAAGATAGAAATTATTTGTTTACAAAAGTTCAATAATTATTTCTAATTAATAAAAAATCTTTATTTTCTTTAAGTTTTCAGTTTCCATTATCAGCGGAACAGGAAATCATCGATATGGGGAAGTAACTCGTACTGTACACGTACTAACGGAAGTTTATCTGCAAAACCGAAAGTGGAAGAAGGGAAAATACAAGGAAGCATCTCTTCGTGGTTTTTTTTCACGATCTTCTTCATTTAAAATTGTTATGTACTCTTGGACATAACGAACGCGAAGTCTTGCATGCAGCTTGACCGACTTCAAAACCAAGAAGCAGAAGTGCTTATTTATAGTTAGCCTAGATAAAAACAGCTCGTCCTCGTCCTAGGTACAGCAGTCTGACATCACAAAGTGGTAAGTGGTACACGAAGTGTTTCAAAAACACTCCACGATTCAGAAGCGACTTCTGTTGAACGATCGTGTGATTTCAAAATTTCAAGTTGTTAAAAGCAGTGTCGGTTGAATCCGAGTATTGGGCTGGAGAGCCAAGGGTCGCAGGTTCCAGCCAAGCGACGGCACAAATCTTTATCACTATTCCTCGTCCTATTACTGCGAGTTATACTTAAATTTTATTTTGCATTAACAGCTTCTTTGGTCCATTTGTAAGGTTGTCACAATATATATACAAGTGAACATGTACATTGTAGGTGCATTTCACAAACAATTTACAATGAAGTTAGGTGATTCCTGATAGGTTAATTGTCTACAGTCCTGAGTGAAAAAGTGCCACTAAAGTGTCGGGTCTGTTTGTTTGGTCAGGAATATAATTTGTTCAGGTCTGGTGTTTCAACATCATGTCATATATATGTTTTGAGGTATCATGCTAAGAAATGAAAAAAACCCAACTTTTTTCTTTTCAATCTTTTGCAACATTAATATTGGCCATGGGTTAATTACTGGACATAGGTGCCTTTAAATTCCTTCCTTATATTTACATTTCTAAGTGTTTGAATACAATTGTTTTTTTTATCACATAATGAAATGCATAGTTGCAATATAGTAGAGAAGCCGCATGTTTTCATTAGGAAATTTGAATTTTCTGTTAGAGGGCCGGCATCCCTGATATTTCAGGGGTTACAATCATAGGGAAATTGAAGGCTCAGTGTGCCCAACTTTGTGGATGACAAGACTATATTGATCCTTTGATGTACATCAAAAGAACATGTTGGTCAGTTAATGCAAATATTGTCTGGCTTCAAAGTAATCTTCAAAGGACAGGTGTCAGCCTAGCAATTGGTCAGGTTTTTGTTTTAGTAGGAATTGATGGCTTCATGACAGACAGTAAACAATTGCAAACTACCCCGTTAATAGCCTGACTTATATAAATAAATTTTGTGATGAGGTTACTTGTGTTTTGCAAAAATTAATGTTGTTTTCATCGGTAGGTCTAAGATTAACAATATTGAGTTTTAGATATCACCAATGAGAATAACTTGACACAAGATGAGGACATTGATTTATTGATCTAACATTGCCAACAGGTATCAAAATGACGTTTAAATCCAGAATGGAATCAGCTTAGACTGAAAGTCCTTTGATCAGAAAGTTTTTTATGCATGAAAATCTATTTACTTACAGTTCCCTACACACATGTATCATAGGTGTCAATTTGGGAGATCTCCCTCATTCCACATTTCTAATAAGGTAGAAAGTTCGTAAAATGTGACTGAAACTGCTTTGCTTGCCTGTTATGTTCATTACACACACCCTGCGGTAATTAGGAGATCATTTGATCACAGGATGTCGATTTTGAGTTTTTAGGGATCGAGATTGGTAAATTTTGGTCAAAATGAGGGAGTTTTCCCTCTAATGAGGGAGGGTTGACAGCTATGATTTATACATATGTAACAGGAGAGGAAATGTAGGGCCAGACCAGTATACTCAAACTCCAGATTCTCCAAACTCTAACTGTGCAATATCAAATTTGCATGCAAACTGATTCTATTTCGGTTCCCATAAGTATATTCATGAGCTGTATGTGTGTACTGCATGACCAGCATATACTTTTATTGGAATTAATCCAGCACTTTATGTAAAAGGGAAAAATCATTCTTCCTTTTGGTAAAGCATATTGTTTCATTTACAAGAAAGAAATGAAGCTCTTTTTAATAATTAGGCAAAACAAAATTAGAAATGAATTTCATTTGTTTATAACGAACTGGAATCATTATCAATTGTCTAAACCTGATGCCTGTATTGACACTCCTTTTTCCCTCTGATTTCACCTTGGTATCAGAATCAAAACAATGGACATGACATCAGTGTGCTGAAGTATTGAAAACAATGAATAAATGTAGAAGTAAAGACGATCTGCTATCAAAATTAAAGGTGATCGTGTTTATATTTACAGGTTAATTAAAGGTGATCGTGTTTATATTTACAGGTCTATATGTAAATGATAACATTGTTTATAATAACAGGTAAATAAGGGTGATAACATTTGTATTTACAGGTATGTATGGGTGATATTTTATATAATTACAGGTAAGTTAGTGGTGATATTGTTAAAAATTAAAGATAAGAATTTACAGGTAAGTTAGAGGTGATATGGTTCATAATTAAAGAAAAGACTTTACAGTTAAGTTAAAGGTGATATCATGATATTGTTTATGTTTTCAGGTATGTAAAAGGTGAAAGCATGGGGAACCAAGAGTCCAAAGGTGACCAAAACCAACAGGACAGCCAGAAGGAAATATTTATACACACTTTCTCTGAAGATCTTTTGTCAGACCAGGTTGATGGTATAGTCTGCTTCACAGACAGAAACTGGTCCTCTGATAACCTCTGTTGTCAATTACTGGCGAAACATGGAGGAAATCAGTACGCTTCAGAACGACAAGCTATTAAACATGACAACAAGGACTGCCAGCCCGGAAATGTCTATGTTGGAGACAGCGGAATGTTACCGTGTAAAAAAGTCTTCTTTTGTGTTGTTACTGAAAATGAACTCACAGAAGGAAGTGGCCGCTATGATCAAAAAGCAGTTACCATGGTAACAAATATACTGGACAAAGCATCACGAGAGGAGTTTTTCTCCTTGGCAATAATCATAGAAGGAAGTAAGTAACATACAAAATATGTACTCCAACAATGTTAGAGGTTTTACACGGCGAAAAACTTTTGACAGGCGCCGCATCCTCTAAATGCCCATAGCTGATTTTCCCGATGCTGACTATCACATTTTCAAAGTTCGGATTATGAAAGAGGATAACGTGTTTACATACATTTAAATGGTCAAAAGGGTCCAATAAATATTCCTTTCCATAAATCCATGATTACATGAGAAAAATTTCATGTCAAAGACATAAATAATGAGTTTTTCCTCACTCGAAGCGAAGCCGACAGCATTTGCCATGATTTTTCCGGTTAATACAAAAATGGATTACATGTAATGTTTCACAAGCGGAATACAAACAAACTCCGTATCATTTCGTTCCGTTTGAAATCCCCCCTGATATTTTGTATTAATCCAGAAGCCATGTTTTAAATGTAGGTCAGAGATGTGCTACAACGACATGGACATGTATTTTGAGTGTTCTATTCCGTAATATAGTGCTTCTAGAATTAGTGCTTCGGAAATGAGAGGTCGCAGTCAGCAAAATCATATCCGATTGAAAAAAGGCCGTACAGCGGCCTCTCATGTTATGGGAGTAACAAAATATGGAGATAATGGTATATTAAATAGAGATTATCATTCAATGAGAAAGTGAATTATTTATAAAAAAAACAATGTTCTGCTACCAAGTGATATATTTTTACTGAGGATCTGCTTAGATTAATCACCCAGAAGGTTGGACATTTCTGGTTGTAAAAAGAAGCACATTTCTCCCAACCTTCACAGATGTGTCTTCCCTTTTAGCCGGGAAAGATCAGCTTGTCACCCCCTAGGGGGAGATAGCCTCGTGCCGATTAGCACGTGTTCAATTGTGACATCATTAAAATGCGTCATCCGTAATTGTCCTCGGTTTTCAACTGATCAAAATTTTCCACCTGAGAGAACACCATATTTGTAGGTCAGGGGAGTGACTAATCAACAAGCCGTACTGATCCAGACCAAAAAGTGGAGTATATAATAATTCTTGTTTGAAGATTTCCGGATCGCCTCTTTTTTGTTGATTAGTCACTCAATGTTAACATCACACCAACAATTCTGTCTTTGCGTATTGCAGAGTTATCTTCTCTTGGGAGCAGGTATTGATTGTTACGTCATTGGTTTGTGTGAGATAATTACGTCGTTTTCTCAAAAATTGATGACGAATGATTCTTTTTCTCTTATTGTTGAAGTGATGTCATACAATTGTTATGAATAGGGGAATCCCCCCTTCTCAACCCACCAGGGTATCTTACACCTAGAAAAGTGTGGATACACCTGTCGAGGGTAAGATAATCCCCTATCTCCCCCCTCTCCCCAGGGGATGAAATATTCTATCAATCAAAGGCTTTGTTGGTAAAATTTAAGAGAGCTAGTCTTGAGTTCATACAATCAAGAGTGCAGATCTTTACATGGCTGCTTGAAGCTGTTGGCATTTTCATATGATATTGAACTTATATTTATTACTAAACATTTCAGATGATGCTGGCCCCAACCCAACTTGCCTCATTCCTCTGATTTACTGTAAATTTCTACTGTTGTCATCAACTTTACAAGAAATCCATTTAGTTGCTCTGGACGAAGCATTGATTGACTTGATGCAGAAAGTGTTGCGAGAATCTCACCAGCTTTCTGTCAGCCAAGAATCAGTACCTGGTGATCAGGGTCCTAGAAACCGTTCTCCTCCAGATAATGAAAATTTAACTGCAGACACAAGGCAGGATACTTCAACACAAGATAAGCCTCCTGGGTCTGTGGAGAATGGCACAACTCAAGAATCTGCAGAAAACAGTGCCAGTGAGGAGGGTGGTGGTGTTGACGAAAGTTATGTAAACAATATAATGGGGATAGAAGATGTTAAAATTCAACCTTCCACTGACGATCCCAGGGATGAAGTTGATGAGACAGAGTTAGGGGCTGTGGGGGGGCTGTCTCCTGCTACACCAGAATTCACTCAGTACTGTTATTCCTCCAACTCTGATGATGGTTACGAAGATGATGATAAAATTACAAAAACAATGTTTAAAAGAGGAGATTCAACTATAAGCACTGCGAGCCAAGAAGACAATCTAGATTTTGTAAACATTCTGAACTCTGCCAGTGTTAAAAAGGGGATGAAACATTTAGCGCCGATTGTTGACCCTGTTTCTCCTGCTTCGCCTGCAAAAACCTTTGTGTGCTCCATCTGTATGGAGGAGAAAGGACCATTGTTGCTCAAAACACTTGACAAGTGTAGGCACATGTTTTGTAAAGAGTGCATTACAAAACATCTACAGATACAAGGAACATGTCCGATATGCAAGCACCGCTACTCTGATCCTCAAGGCAATCAGCCGGATGGTGTGATGTCATACTTCATTGCTGAAGACACAAACTTGGCTGGCTACGAAAGTGTTGGAACCATTGTTATAGAGTATGACATTCCTGATGGTATACAATCAGTAAGTATTGAATGTTTCATGGGTCTCATTCACCCCTGAAGACCCATTTGAGTTGAACTCATCCAATTCAATGGTTGAAATAGTTCATTATGAAATTTCAGGGGTGAGAGATTTAATAATAGAAATGCATGAAAACAATGCTGGTTTAGTGTAAAAACAAATTTGGTTGGTAGATAAAAGTTTGAAATCTATTATTATATCGGTGTTAAGGGTTCCCGCGACAGGATCAAAATCTGTAATTATGAAACTCTTTTTATCCACCATGACTATAGCTTTTATAAACCATATCCGAAAAGATGAGAGGGTGGGGGGGGNGTGATGTCATACTTCATTGCTGAAGACACAAACTTGGCTGGCTACGAAAGTGTTGGAACCATTGTTATAGAGTATGACATTCCTGATGGTATACAATCAGTAAGTATTGAATGTTTCATGGGTCTCATTCACCCCTGAAGACCCATAGGCGTCTTGCCTAGGATTTGAACCCTTGACCTAGGATTGTTATACTATCTATATAACATATCGAGTTACCTGGTCAACTAAAAGTGTACACGCCAAATTGTTGATAACATTTTTTACTCCATCTTTACAAGTTCTCAAAAAAGTCCCGCAAGGTATGGGATACTTATTAGAAATGATTTCTAAAAGCATTTTTAATAGTCATGCTGGAAAATGCGTTGTTACATTGTTTTGGCAGTGATATGGGGATCCTTAAATTATAACAAAGTTTCATTGGTTACTATTTTTGGCAGTGATATGGGGATCCTTAACTTATAACAAAGTTTCATTGGTTACAATGTTTTGGCAGTGATACAGGGATCCTTAACTTATAACAAAGTTTCATTGGTTACAATGTTTCGGCAGTGATATGGGGATCCTTAACTTATAACAAAGTTTCATTGGTTACAATTTGTTGGCAGTGATATGGGGATCCTTAACTTATAACAAAGTTTCATTGGTTACAATTTGTTGGCAGTGATATGGGGATCCTTAACTTATAACAAAGTTTCATTGGTTACAATGTTTTGGCAGTGATATGGGGATCCTTAACTGATAACAAAGTTTCATTGGTAACAATATTTTGGCAGTGATATGGGCATCCTTAACTTATAACAAAGTTTTATTGGTTACAATGTTTTGGCAGTGATATGGGGATCCTTAACTTATAACAAAGTTTCATTGGTTACAATGTTTTGGCAGTGATATGGGGATCCTTAACTAACAACAAAGTGTCATTGGTTACAATGTTTTGGCAGTGATATGGGGATCCTTAACTTACAACAGAGTGTCATTTGTTACAATGTTTTGGCAGTGATATGGGGATCCTTAACTAACAACAAAGTGTCATTGGTTACAATGTTTTGCCAGTGATATGGGGATCCTTAACTTATAACAAAGTTTCATTGGTTACAATGTTTTGGCAGTGATATGGAGATCCTTCACTTACAACAAAGTTTCATTGGGCAAGTTTTTTTTAGACCTTTATGAAAAACGTCACATAAATAAAACTGAAGAACATATTTAAATATAATGGAATTTCTATTTATGAAAGTGGAAAGAACAGAAAAACCTGCAACCACCTGTGTATTAAGACCACCTATTTATAGAGACCACATGTGTATTAAACCACCTGTGTATTAGGACCACCTATTTATAGAGACCACATGTGTATTAAGACCACTTATTTATAAGGACCACCTGTGTATTAAGACCACTTATTTGTAATGACCACCTGTGTATTAAGACCATATATTCATAAAGACCATCTGTGTATTAAGATCACTTGTGTATTAAGACTACCTTTTTGTCAGGACCACCTATGTATTAAGACTATTTATTTATAAAGACCACCTGTGTATTAAAACCACCTATTCATAAAGACCACCTGTGTATTAAGACCACCTATAAAACATCTGTGTATTAAGACCACCTATTTATAAAGACCACCTTTGTATTAAGATCACCTATTTATAAAGACCACCTTTGTATTAAGACCACCTATAAAGATCACCTTTGTATTAAGACCACCTATTTATAAAGATCACCTTTGTATTAAGATCACCTATTTATAAAGACCACCTGCTTAGCGCTACTTTTCTAAGAATATCCCAAATTGTGTTTCCTCTATTTAACGACGTGTTTTTAAAGACCATCTATTTATTTGGAGTATTTTACCCTCCTTATTTACGTTAGGTCTGGACTAAGATAGGTATATATATCAGATAACACGGACCATATAAGCCACTCTAATATTAGTATCCTGTACTCTAGGAATGCCATCCAAACCCAGGCCATGCTTACAAGGGGCTGCACCGGTCTGCCTTTCTGCCCGACAACCCAGATGGCCAAAGAATATTACTTCTGCTGCAAAAAGCCTTTGACAAGAAGCTCATCTTTACCGTAGGCACTTCAATCACTACCGGACGTGAAAATGTAACAACGTGGAATGATATCCATCACAAGACCAACATTAAGGGCGGAGCACAACGGTAGGTGTGAGAAGGAACAAATTACACAAAACTTAAAACCAAACACTACGTTGACATTGGGATCAATAATTTTTCTTATTAATAGATGGAGAAAAAATATCTCAAACTGCAGCAGGGATCAAAGATTTTTAGATTGTATCCTTTTTTTTAGCACATCTGGTCAAACGATGATTCTTCAGGTGTAGAGGTGTAAGGTAAAGAGAACAATATTACTTTATTTGCATATTTAAATGATTTTGACCTGTTCTTTTTTTATGGTCACAGGTGTGAGATGAATAACAGGTGAGCAATACGGGCCAATGGGGCCTCTTGTTATTATAAGGATTTAGTTTATTTTACAGGTTGTGGAAACAAGTCTCAATATTATACAAGGTTTTAGTTACAAAAGTTACACTGTAAATATACAGGAATTAACAGTATTTAACCCATTCACCCCTAAAATTTTATTGTTGGCTTTTCCAACCTTTTAATTGGAAGAGTTCAAATGCATCTCCAGGGGTGAATGAGTTACCTGTATATAAAATATAGGTAATTGATCATTGTACAATTGAGTTGTTCATTGTTAAAAGTTATAGATATATAGAATATGTAGATTTCTAAACCATTGCCAATTAATACTATAATTTCCCTTATGTAATTTGTTAAAGAGTCAAAACACGAACTTTTCCACAGATCAAAATTTTCACTTGTACAGTACTGAGGATTTTTCTTAACAGTTATAGGATGGGAAAATTTCCAAATTACAGTACGAAGGATTTTTATAAAACAGTATAGGACGAAAAAATTCCACTTAACACTACTAATAGTTTTTATAAAACAGTAATAGGATGGGAAAATTTCCACCTTACAGTGCTAAGGATTTTTTTAAAACAGTTGTTGTATGGGTAGAGAAACAACATTATATGCCACTGCTGCTACAAACTCATGACATCATAGCGTTGCTTCATAAGTTTTTATTTTGGCAATTCTGTTTCACCTGATGAAAAAGCAAGAGAATTTTAATACTGATTTGTCAAGACTCATACACTCATCAGGATGTTTAGCTCACCTGGCCCAAAGGGCCAAGTGAGCTTATGCCATGGCGCAGCGTCCATCGTCTGTCAACTTTTTCCTTTAAAACACTATTTGTCGTTAACGGCTCAGAGGATTTTGACCTGGAGCATCATCGGGTTCTCAGTTTTGTATAAATGGAGGGTATGGCCCCCATGGGGGCAGAGGGGTGGGGCCAAATAGGGGGAAAATAGGTAAATCTTCAAAAATCTTGTTCTTCTCAACTAATAGAAGGATTTTTATCAATTTTTTTTCTAGAGCATCTTTGGACAAAGGGGCCTTAAGTTTGTATAAATGGAAGGGCCCCCCTGGTGGCAGAGAGGTGGGGCCCAATAGGGGAAATGCAGTCTGAAGCATGCTTAGGGACAAAAGAATCAGTTTTGTATAAACTGAGGTGTGTGGGGCCACTTCTTTTTGGCAGATGGTTGGGGCTCATTAGGGAAATAGAGGAAAACGCCTTTTGTCCGTCGTCGTGCGTCCGTAAACAATTTACATTTTCGACTTCTTCTCCAAAACCCCTGAACCAATTACAATGAAATTTTGCAGGGACCTTCCATGGACAAAGGTCAACAAAAATCGTGGCCGGTTTAGTCCCAAGCCCCCAGGGGCCTGAGGGGCGGGGCCAAAAAGGGTCAAATTGACTAAAATTTCAAAAATCTTCTTCTCAAGACCCAGTTATGGTAGAATCAAATACTCTTCATATATGGAAGGGTCTTAAGGTGCTTTACCACAATTGTGAATTTCTTGACGCTAGGGTCTCACGTTTACCCCCTGGGGAAGGAGGGGGGGGGGGCAAAATTTATTATTGTTTATAATGNCAGAGAATCAGAGGTGCTAGTTTCAAATACTTTTTAGTCTGAAATCTGTATGCTAGATATTGAATAAGGTGGTTTTATTGTTTTTTGTCACTTTGAATGATATTTCTGTTCATGTTAAAAACAAAATGAACTCTGTGTATAAATATATCAGGTGACCGTTAAGGCCCGTGGGCCTCTTGTTTTAATTGTAGGGATTTTAATCAAACTTCTAATGCATCTTTGGGTAAAGTTGAAAACAGAGTATGTATGTGCCCTCCTCCCCCTCCAGGGGTCCAGACCATTCCCTGGAGGCTATCTCCCTGGGATATAACATGGAAAATCATTTTCTTGGTGTTTTACCCATCAAAACAGACTTACATGTAGTTCTTCTTGCAACTTTGCTTCTTGTACTTCTTTGATACACCTGTATGGTACTCAGCAGGTTTTTAAATGGAAAATAAAATACCAGGTGAGCTATTAAGGCCTTTTGTTTAATTGAGCAAAACAAATTTATGGAATGGGAAGATGGAATTTTTTTTTGAAATACTTTGAAAAGTTCTGAACACACCAAAATATCATCACAGTTTTCAATATGCAAATTAATTCTTCCAAACTAATCTGTATACATCCTTTTCAAATGAACTTCAAAATACCGGGTGAGCTGTATGTACAAAAATTTAAGTGTGACAGGTTTTAATTGTACATGGGATTAAGGTTGCCGTTTAGCTTCACACTAGAGGGAAATTTCCTGTAGTCAGAGGGAAGCTGGAGGGGGGATGCATGGTGGGAGGTGATGGAGGGGGATGGTGGGAGGTGCTGGGGGATGCATGGTGGGAGGTGCTGGAGGGGGATGGTGGGAGGTGCTGGGGGATGCATGGTGGGAGGTGCTGGCTCGATCACTTACTCTCTTTCCTGTTACATAAATCCTATCTGTATCACATACATGTTTGTACATTTATTCATAAGCAAGAAAAAACTGATGGAAATGAACAAGTGTATTTAAGTAACATATGCGTCAATTTCTGAAATCTCCAATGAGGGAGATCTCCCTCATTCCACATTTTCAACGAGGGAGAAAGTTGGTGAAATGCGTTAGATACTGCTTTGCTCAATTTATCTTTCCCTTTTTATGTATAAAAATAACTCATTCATTTGATTCAGACACACCTGTTATGATCATTAAATACACCCTGCAGCAATTAAGAGATCATTTGACCACAGGATGTAGATTTTAGGTTTATGTGAGTTTGGCCTTAAATAAGGGAGTTTTGAGGGAGATTGGTAAATTTTGGTCAAAATGAGGGAGTCTTCTTCCTAATGAGGGAGGGTTGACAGCTATAAAGTAATGGTGAGGATTGAATGAAATTTTGTATACATATGTATATCTTATTATATATTATGTTTCATTTTCTGTTTAAGGTTTGGCTATCCAGATCCTACGTATTTGAGAAGGGTTTATGATGAACTGATTGCCAAAGGAATAACGGAGGAGGAGTAAAATACATCTCACTACACCAACCTGTTATTCTGTATTCACTATTTTATCAAAGGAACATATAAATATATATCTCATATATTTAACTAATGGGACAAACACTCATAGTAAACATATACTTTTGTCTTTGCTTACGTTAAGTGCTAACATAATTGTTTTAATCGCAGAACTGGGCTTAGTAAGTTTAAACATTATTATATTTTTCATATTTTTTGCACATTAAACATACTACAGAACTTAGTATAAAGAGGATTAGAAAACAAGCTGAAAGCTGACACCAATTCCTCTCCTCTACTTTGTTAATTAATTGCTCCTCAATATGAAATACCCACATTTGTCTCTTGTAATGTACACAGTCACATTCCAGTAGATTATATACTATACATTTGTGTACAATTTATGTACTTTACAACAGTTGTGAAACAAGCTTATCAGTCGTATATAATTCACTCTTGTGGGCCCTGATGTGGAGGGGATCCTAGTGTGTGAGGAACCGGTAATACTTTGGGAAAACCCACATGGTCAGGCAGGTAGCTCAATACTTTTTCATGCCTATAAATAATAAATAAATAATAAATAATCTTTATTTAACATCATGAACATAGTTAACAACAAACATAAGCTCGGTAGAGCTTTTATTATGACGCCGCTATGGGAACAAATATTGTTTTCATGGTGGAGGAAAATCCACGAGAAAAAAAACCCACAGTGCCATCAGAGGGATAACAACTAACCCTATCAGACACAACTTTCTTTTTCTGCCATCACTGGGGATCGAACCAAAATTCTTTGGAGAGTGAGAGGTCTGAAGCTTATGCTTGATTGCACACATTAGAAATGGCTCTGTATGTTAGCAATCAGGGCTACCATTTAGGCACCCATAAGGCACTCAAGTAAGAGCTACAGAAAACCAATAGTTTCATCATGTAATGTGGGCAGTTGTCCTCTCCTATGTGACTGAGGCCCCCTTACAAGCTGTGTGTACTGAACCAGTCTGACAGTGTTGGACATCAATGTATATTGAGTTGCTTGCTGTTAAATCCTCAAGGGGTGGTTTGTATATAGGCCTTCTAGAGCTTTCCTGAAGCATATAAGACTCTTTTACGTCCAGGGGTGAAGGATAGGGAAATTTCACTCAAGGGGTTTTCAAATTTGCTAAGACCCAATGTTTATCACAGTTTTTTAATAATTTGAAAATCTCAAGAGTGGGATTTCAATATCCTACACTCCTCAGCATGACGTTTGAGTCTGTTTCAATTTCATTCTAGTTGTACCACAATTAGCTCAGGAACTATGAAAAAAACATGCTAATGTATTTTGACTCGCTACATTTTCCCCCTGCGCTTTTTGGATGAAGATCAAATTGGTTATTGAGATTAAGCATTACCCATTTCCCCGAATGAATTTTGTAAAGAAAAAATAATCCCATCTTTCTGCCTTATATTGTCAATATCTTACAGTTTTAAATTTATTCACATCACCATTCTCTACATTGTAATTTTCCCTTTTTCATGACGTCACATCACTGTAAACCTATTGAGACGTTATACAAGGGGAATAGGATGTAGGATAGAAATTTCTAGCACCTCATTTCTGCCCAGGGCAGCTCTTTGTCAAATACTGTAGATCATATTTGTGGTATAGGCTCAAAAACATTTTTGATTGGGCATCAGGATTGTCAAGAGATACCTGTACAACAGGGAAAAGAGTAGTGTGTTTCCGACGGGAATCGAACCCCCAGCGTGAAGCTAGAAGGCGAACATAATCCTATGTGCAATTAAAATCTGCTTTACACGTACAAAGTGTATATACATTTGTATGTGTAACTATTATACCACTACCACAGGTACCTACCATGTTTCTAGAGAGCTTCTAAGCATTATATATACATATTATCAGAAGTAATTTTGTTATGTATTTATAACAGTAGAGTACCTTATAATTTATTATTTTCATTTTCTTGCAGTTTTTTGTTTGTTTGTTGTATTTACTAAATGACTGAAACTTAAGCAAAAAGGGACTAACTTAGAAATCTGTATCACAGCTGACCAGAAATGGTTTGATAATATGAATAGGAATATCTTTGTGGGTAGCACATACTTTTATCCCACACTTCACAGGTACATTCCCGTTTTTGGTAGGGAAAAGTTTATAGAAACTATCACTCCTGTGTGATGTAGACAGAGATATCTCAACCAGAGGGTGAAATATTTTTTTAGGTTTGGCACGAGGCTTTGCCGAGTGCTAGAGTGATTGGTCATTGAGAGAAGAGACGACATCCTATGTTTTTGTTTATTGTTGGCTGTTCTGTAATTGTTCAATACATGTGTGTAAAAGTGATGATGTAATCGGTTTGGCAAAAAGTGCACAGGGTCACAGGTCATGTTGAAAGAAGTGCGTTGTCTGTGAAGCTTTCTAAAGATAATAATAATTTGATGTTCTTATATACCGTTTTATCACAACCTAGTTTGTAGGTCGTCTCAAAGCGGTTCACAAATTATTATCCGTGGTTATAGAGCCTTTGCAACCAGCCAATATCTTTTTAAACTCCATGGGGAGCATACAGCCGGTGCTGCCATTTCGGCACTCATAGCTAGCATTCAACAATTCTAGCACTGCCCAACCACATTCAAGAGGTGGTATCTACAAGTGTATTGATTTCTACATACACTGTATGTGTAAGTTGCAAATAGTCTCCTTCGTGCAAATCAGTTCAAATGTTTTTATTTTTCGTTTGACTTATAATGAGATTATTAGCAAGGTGTAGCTTAATTTTCATTATATTACACATTTCCATTTTGAAATGTATGTATTTGAATGTCCTTAACTTATTTTGCCTCTTTAGTTAAATATGCTTGTTAAGGTATTTATTTGGAAATGATCAATGGTGTGATGTGTTTAATTGGTAAAGTAAACAAATCATGCATGTAACAATTATAAATGTCAACCTGTATGGATGTACTTAGTCCCTCTCAGAGTTTCTGCTGATAGAGAAATGGACTGCATCAGTTTAGCTTGATTGCCCAAAGAGCTAGTGAAATGCCATGGCACAGTGTCTGTCGTCTGTTCTTCCATCCATCCATCCATCATTCATCAACTTTTCCTTTAAACCACTTCTAAGGAACGGAAAGTCCTAGTCATGATATTTGACTGATAGCTGCCTTGGTAAATCCAACTTGATGGAGCCCAACAAAGTTTGAAATGAATATGACCTCGATAAAATTTCAAGGTCACAGTTGTCAAATATGTTAAAAACTTCAAACGACTTCTTCTGAAGAACAAGATAGCATAGAATCTTAATATTTCTGCTGGTAGCCTCTTGGGATGGATCCCAACACATTTTGTGAATGAAACGACATCAACCTACTTTCAAGGTCACAGGGGTCTAATATTTCAAACACTTCAAACAAGTTCTTCTTAAGAACTAAGAGGTATAGACTTATCATATTTGGCAGGTAGTTTCTACAGATGGAACCTGACAAAGTCTGCCAGCGACAAAGATGACCTTGACCTCCTTTCAATGTCACAGTGGTGCAATATGTCAAAAACTGCAAATGATTTCTTTTAAAGAACTGAAATGCAAAGATTCGTAATATTTAATAAGTAGCTTCTTTGGATGGAGACAAACAAAATCTGTGAATGAAAATGACTGACTTACTATCAAGGTCACAGGGATAAAACATCAGTTAACATCTTTAAATTACTTTTTCTGAGTAACCAAAAGACTCAGATACTATTTGGCCAGAAGCATGATTGAATCAAGCGCTATCAATTGTGTGAAAACGAATGCCCCATTCTGATATTCAAGTTCATAGGGGTCAAATGTGCTTAAAAAACTATTTCTTCTCTAGAGTCCTGGAGTGATAATATTTGACCAGTGTTTAACAGAATGACCTTGACCCACTTTCCTTTTCAAATAATCAGTCAAATTGTATTAAAATTCTTAAACCACTTCTTCTCAATAACCAAGAGCCACTGGGCTATGATATTTGACATTAATGGCTACCAGGTTTGTTTAAAAGAATTACTTTGCTTGGATTTCAAGGTCACTGGGGCAAAATGTGTTAATATTGTAACAAGTTGTTTTAAATAACCAAGAGTAATAGTGTCCTAAAGCTTTATAAAGGCTAGTTAAGTATAATTATACCCCCTCAACGAAGTTAGGGGGGTATACTGGAATCGCTCTGTCTGGATGTCTGTCTGTCGTCCGCAGTAAACTCCTCCTTAATTAACAAGTGGATTTCATTGAAACTTTGCATGAATGATCTGTATCTTATGTAGTTGTGCACCGGCATTTTAATTTGGGATTTCGACCCTTTATGATGGAGTTATGCCCCTTTTTGCGAAATACTTGTCCGGATAACTCCTCCTTAATTAACTGGTGGATTTCATTGAAACTTTGCATGAATGATCAGTATCTTATGTAGATGTGCACCGGCATTTTAATTTGGGATTTTTACCCTTTTTGATGGAGTTATGCCCCTTTGTGCAAAATACTTGTCCGGAAAACTCCTCCTTAAATAACAGGTGAATTTCATTGGAACTTTGCATTAATGATCTGTATCTTATGTAGTTGTGCACCGGCATTTTAATTTGGGATTTCGACCCTTTTTGATGTAGTTATGCCCCTTTGTGCGAAATACTTGTCCGTGCAACTCCTGCTTAACTAACTGGTGGATTCCATTGGAACTTTGCATGAATGATCGGTATCTTATGTTGTTGCGCACTGGCATTTTAATTTGGGATTTCAACCCTTTTTGATGGAGCTATGCCCCTTTGTGCGAAAAACTTGTTTATTTTTTTGTTAATTTATTTTTTTTGTTTTTAATAAAATAGTGATTACCATAACTCATTACTGGTGGGAGACTATATTGATTTGCATAAGTAAGCATTTAGCGTACAGTTCTGGTTTATATAGGAGCGGGGGTATTAGTTAGCCTTTGGCTTACAGTTCTAGTAGAACTTTGTACTCTTTGAACATAAAAGTGTGAGAATGAAAGCAGGTGAGCGATACAGGCCCTCTCGGCCTCTTTTTAGCTTTGCTCCTAGATCAGATTGGTGAGGTTTAATCTTTGCATCACGTACATTGTTAAGTCTTAAGTATCTGATTGGCAACGCATTTTCTTTATCTTGTTTTAAAGTGTTTATTTGATCTACAGTAGTTCACTGTGCCAAGGTTTATTAAAATTTCGGAAAAAATATGTTGTGTATATTTTTGGACATTGTTGTCACTTTTGCAAAGAAAATGACGGAGGACAAGATGTCAATGTATCCTGATGATACACAATAAAAGTTTACATTGTTCAAAAATTTAAAATTCAACAGAAAATGTTTTATGATGTATATGTGAAATGTAAGAAAACATGTTTTATCTCACACTACGACATCGTAACATTATAAGTGATATGTATGATTAAGTTAATATGAAAGTATGAATTATGAATCAATAATTTGGCATTATTATTATTCGCGGATGGAAGGATTTATTTTATTATCTAACCAAGTGGTGGGCCATCGAAATAATACATTTTGTTAAAACCACGAAATTCCGGCACAATCAAATTATATTATTTCACATTATTTGGACATTATGCCTAAACTTCTATTGGTGATTTCAAATCACAGACGAGGAGTCTTTTAAACCCAAATCGCTGTTAAAATAAAGTAAAATTAAGAAATTAGAATAAGTTAGTTCATAGATTTATTTATGTTTGACAACTCTTGTTTTCCTTTTACAGCTAGTGTATATTTATGATATTCATGAAAAATATGTTCTGCTGCTATTGTCAATTCATTAACGTCAATATCTTGACTTCAATGTTCTTTTAAAAATAGGTTCTGCTGCTATTGTCAATTCATTAACGTCAACATCTTGACTTCAATTTTTTGTGTGTGTTAAATGCGGTGACCTAATACCGTATCATATTAAGAATCCCTGTACCACTACACTGATTTTTTGTGTATACGGTAATCTCTCCATAGTTTCGTTTTGGATAAAGCTGTAGCACAGTTGAGTCAGAACAGTTCCGTCGACTAGGAAGCTTTCTCGATTAAAGTGATACTAAACAATCTGAAGTTCATGGTTCTTGTTGGTTTTATTCAGAATCTAAGCACTGCTGCTGATTATGTTCTGTTTATTTAATCTTTATTTTATAGTTTCATAAAAAGCCCCACAGGGTTTATGTAAGTTTTCAGAAATGATTTACCAAACTATTCCGTCTTTTCGTATTGCGGAGTTATCTGCTCTTGCGAGCAGGTATTGCTTGTTACTTCATTTGGTTTGTAGTAACGTCATACATTTTTGAGAAAACGACATAATTTTCACACACAAACTAATGACGTAACAATCAATACCTGCTCACAATAGCAGATAACTCTGCAATATGTAAAGACGGAATAGTCATGCTAGAAAAAACTGGTTTCAAATACATCTGTAATTTAAGTTTTTGGTAGTAGTACGGGGACCCTTCACAAGGATATCACATGAAGCAATATCCAGATATATAACTCGGATATCCGTGATGAAACTTTACAAACAACAACGTTATTGGTGTATTAATTAGTATATCGACGCAGAGAGTTGGCCCTAGCGATTGTGGTGGAAATGACTTTTTATAAGGATTTGAAACAAACATATATGCATACATTTAATCCCGTTTTAAAGGAATTGTTTTGGTCTTTGTTAACAACAGTCAAATATGTATTAAAATGCCGCAGTCAAAAAGTCCACAAAGGACTCTCTTAAAGCAGTTGGTTTCTTGATACAGGTTCAATTAACAAGGAAATTACTACAATTATAAGTAAAACGTGGCCTCGTCACACAGGTGGTCACGTAATGGAAGCGCATACATGAACATGTTGAATTGTGTTAATTTTTCTTAATGATTATTCTAGTTTATATGTGATCAAAACAATCTAGCCTGCAAAAACACATTTGTATATTTAATTGTGAATGAATAAAAGAGACGTGATTGTCAATAAATATGTTGTTTGTTATTAACATTACAATGAAGTAGTTTCTTAACCGTTTCGTTTTATTTTGATAAAATTACTACATAAGTATACACTAAAAACATGATATATTAGATGCGTTATTTGTATCCCCCGCTTTCACCGAAACGGCAGTCAAACGAGGGATATTAATTTGGGTTTGACCGTCTGTCTGTCTGTCTGTCTGTCTGTCAGTTTCGTTTCCATGCAATAACTACAACAAATGCTAACCGATTTTCTTCAAACTTAGTAACAGGGTTCAACGCATTAAGGGCTCGGCCAAGTTTGACAACCACTTTTATCGGACTCCATTTGGCAGAGTCATTATCTACAGTTTCCGCTTAATAACTCCAGCAGGTATTAGATACGTTTTTTTCTTTCGAGTTTCAAGCTATACTTTATGACACTCTCATGTTTAAACCTAACTTCAATAACGTTAACCTACAATATGTCCTGAAAGCAGGGGATATAAATTCCAGGTAGGGCATAAGAATTGTACC